TGGCTGAAATTTTCAGCCAAGTTTTCCTAGAAATTTCGCCCACACGAAATTGCTATTTTCGGGTATTATTTGGGTAACACAGTAGAAGACCGTGGAACGTTCGAGGATCACGATTGTGCGGGTGATGGAGATTCCATTGAGAAGTTATGGAACTGAAGGCTCACGTGGTAGAAGAGATATGTTCACGCTTCAAAAGATAACCCGTGAAATCCCGTTTATGTTAGTTATCTAAATTACATGTGATTTTGATACTGGGATTGCTTCCGCTGCATATAATAATCCATCATTTCTATGGTATCCTTTGTACCTTAATTGCTCGAGTGGGAAAGATCTTACTGTTTGCTTAAGTAACTGCACATTTTATGACTGTAAGTTGATACTAAGAAATATACATGTCAATATTTTTCTTTGTCATATTTTTTTCCCTAAAAATAGATGATATACTTAACATAAAATAAAATACAGGAGTGATACTATAAAGTAAGCTCCCTAATACCAATAAGGTATTAAAAGGCAAAGAAGTAAAGATAAAGGATATCGTGAATGACTTATTGCAGATGTTAATGTTAATGTTAATGTGTGGGATTCATATTATAAGTTTAACGTAAAGATTACATATGTTTTAGAAAAAAGATAAGTCATGATAGATGTTATAAGAGAGTGGACATTATAAATAATAATGCAAAATTACTACAATTGTAACATAGAGAGTATTGATTACGAATTGAGGTGAAGATGCATGCATTGAAAGTGATTTCCGTATTTCACAAAGAAAAAGTAATTAATTTATTTATCTATTGTGCTCTAGATATTGCTTTTGGCTTGATATATATGACGGAGAACAATATATATTGTGTTAATCTTTTTATATTGCATAGTTTTTGTTATGTTGTAATGTCAAAGAGTATATTTAATCAACCTCCGAAAATGTCATAATATTATTTAATTTATTTAAATGTTTAGTATTTTAATAGCTTGACAGTCATTGAAACTCAAAAATAAAAAGAATTAATATGCACGAGGAATATTGTTTATAAGAAAGTACTAGGTCGGATGCGCTTCATTATATGTTTTCGCCCCATTGGATCAAAACAATAACAACAAACCAATATGTTCCCAACAGGTGTGGTCTGGGGAGGATAGTCTGTACGCAGATCTTACCCCTACCTATGCAGGTAGAGAGGCTATTTCCAATAGACCATCGACTCAGGAAGGGTAAAAAGAAGAAGAGGGAAGCAAGAGAGGAAGAAAGAACGAAGAGAAAAGAAAAAGGGAGAGATAAAGAATAAGTAGTACCAAATAATAGCAACAGGGAATACAATACCTGAGACGAACAAAACCACATAACATAATAAAATCAAGAATATGAAGGGACATGCGTGCTACTAAGACTATCGGTGCACAACTAAAAACTACCCATTAACCTTCTACCTTAATCCTCGACCTTCACACCCTTCTATCAAGGGTCATGTCCTCAGTGAGCTGAAGTAGCGTCATGTCCTGTCTAATCACCTCTCTTTAGTACTTCTTAGGCCTACCTCGACCTCTTCGCAACCTCGCCATGGCCAACCTCTCACACCTCCTAACAGGAGCATCAATGATTCTTCTCTTAACATGTCCGAACCATCTCAGCCTCGACTCATGCATCTTGTCCTCCACGGAGGCTACTCTTACTCTGTCCCAGATAGACCACATTGAATCAAAAAAAATAAGTAAAACGATCACATGTATTTGATTAAATTTTAATTGCTCATATTTGTAGGTTCAAACGATATCCAGTCATTCATAACTCGGCAAAGAAATCACTATATGACGATCTACATTGATCATTCACATTAATTTGTATTTTATTAGCTATTGATTTAAAGCTTTATCTTAATTTACACAAGTACGTATTACATGAATCAGCATACGCGTACAAACATGACGAGAAACTAGTAAATTAGAATACACTAATAATATTTAAAAACTATACTATCAATATTGCATAAAAGTCAAACCATAATCATTAAAATGTCGTATATTTGTTGCAAATATTGTTGTCACTTGTCAAGCGAGACACCTATAGATTATAGACTGGAAGTTTCCATTTCCCACTCAAAACGAATCCATTTTTAGGAGAATAAAATTAACTTTTCATAGGAATTAAATAAACGAAAGCCAAAAAACTGACACAGAAACTGAGAATTATTCCCATTCTCCCGGCTCTTTCTCTTACATACTTCAACTGCCTCAAAAGTTTTTGCAGTATTGCCCAAGCCAAGGTAATTCCTTTTCCCACTCAAAACTTTTCTTTTTCTCTATGCTGATATGTCCATATAATTTGCTTTGTTTCTTTTATTTTTTCATTCTTTATATCAAATTTTCGTTGTTTTTTTTACAAAGTTGTGAGCTTTGACTTGATCATCATTTCAGGAAACCTAATTTATTGTTTGTAATGTGTAATTCTTGGAAAATTTAATGGGATAGATAAAAGGGGCATGAATAATTTCTTATTGAATATTATTGAGCAATTCATGTGAAGATGAATATTATTATCTAATGATAATGTTCCCCTGATTTTAAGTAAGTCCTTGATTGAGATGAAAAATTGGTATGATCTGTATGATTCCCTTTATCTAGTGGAATGTCAATTTTAAAGTTTTCAGTTTGTTAAGCTTTACAAGCAGGAGGTTTCACTTTTGATATTGTAATTTTATTTAAATATAGTTTTTGGCATAAGGGAATTCAAGGGAATATTGATGGAAACAATGATTGTAACTGCTACATATTGCAGGATTATACACCAACTAAACATTTTCGTCATTCGGGCAATCCAAGATGGAGTCACGCAAGGTGTTTGGTGTTTTCCCAATATCATTGGCATATGTGATTTTGACTTAGTTATACTTATATTCATCTCATGGTTGCACAGTTATTCATCTCATGTTCATCTTACTGTCTTTCTTCTTTGCACTTCAAGTAATTGGTTCATTTGCTTGTTATGTTTGCTTTTTCAGTGGGATCATGAACCATGCTCAACATGTCGTTGTAATTGGTTTTGTATTAACTAATCAATTCTTGTTGGTTTTTAATTACAGATTTGAAGAAACTAATTGGTAAGTACGAGAAATGAATTGCAAACTTAAATACCTACTCACTGTTTCAGTCAAGAACATTTGAAGCTTGTGACCGAGAATTCAATTAGTCATTCAGTAGTTGTAACCTTAGAAACAAAACTTTTTCATACATTAACTGCGTTTGAACCGGTGAAGCATAATTTTGGGATCTCTCAGGGAATCCTATTTTAGAGGTATTCTATTTGTAGATTTTTGGTGATAATGCTTCGCATGATATGTCATCCTCACTGCTGAGCGAACATGAATTCTTCATGATAAGGCATGGCCTGGTTCGTAATCTTGTTCAACATGAGCATTTCCGGTTTAGAACTTCAAAGTTTGATTGGTAATAGACCTGGTTTTGTATGACTATGTATGCTAGCATTACAAGTAATATCTCTTCATTCCGTGTTCGATTGAGGATTGAAGTTTGAAATTGCATCTATCATTGATCTGATAGTTACTCGGTGATTTTTGCCAACTAAGTTAATAAGGTCTCGTTCTGATAGTTTTCTTTTAAACTTTTTGAATTGAACCATTGACTTAGGTGGTATGATTCCAAGTTTCAGGAAGAAACAGACTGAAGCAAGTGATCATGATACTAGACCTACTACCTTATAACGTTGCAAAAATAATTCAGTACTTTTTCTTGATCGTCTGATTGGTATATCTCGTTTTTGCAGGAAGGTTATAGAGGCTCAGGAAAGCAGAAAAAGGTCAAAATTGTTTTTGTTATAGGTAGGGACTTCCATATTCCTTTAATTGCACTGCATGTTGTAATCACGTCTACTGCATTCGATATTTCTTTTGATGAAATTAAACCTGCATTTTGTATTCTTGTTTTATCATGAAAAAAGCATATTTGCCAAGTTTACTTGGTGGATAGTGGTAAAGATTGGAGGTGACATACTTTCTTCGTGGCTTCCACATGCTCAAATACCCGAGCGCCAACCCAAAAGGAAGAAAAAAGACAAAATTTAGAAAAAAATAAAACATAAGTCATGAAATGCCTCCCAGAAAAGTGAGATTGGCCTATTAAATGCCTTTTGTTAGGATGGTAATCTATAGAGAACTTACCTGAAGTTCAGGAAAATGCTGTACTGTATATTTCTCCCTTCATAGTTGCCTACGTGACAGTTTTAAGATTGAATCCACCTAGTCTAAATCCTGGATTGGATCCGTCTCTTGATTAAGTTTTATTCAAGTGCTCGGTGAACAGCAGGAGATGTCAATGGCAAGCATTGGTCGATTAAGACATTGGATTTTAACGGGTTGGTTGAAAATAGATGTTGGCAACAGACTTGAAACGAAGTTCTTGAAGAATTCTTTAACATAGTTAAGTCTCTAGAACCTTTTTTTGAACGTGCTTGAGCGTGCTTATACCGTTCCAGATCATTCTTGTAAATCGTAAATACCTTGCTAGCTAATACGTCCCTGAGCACAAGGAATACTTATGATATTTGCTAGTGTTAGAGCATGTGATATTGCAGTTTCTCTTTATCTCTCTTTTAAAACTTTTAACTTCCTCGTCTCCTTATTTGATATTTCCACATTATGATTATTCATTTTACAGGTGGTCCAGGGTGTGGTAAAGGCACGCAATGCAAAAGAATAGCACAACAGTTTGGCTACACTCATCTTAGTGTTGGTGAGCTTCTACGTCAAGAAATCAATTCTGGTTCTGAAACTGGGTATGTTATTCAACAACCATTTCGAATTCTAGAGAAATCGGTAGTTCCTACCCTTTCATCTGAGAGGTGCTCTGTGATATTACATGAAATGAAACTCACCAAAATATCGTAGTGTGCACTCTGTAGGCTTACAATCCTGTTAAGAATTTAAATGTCACAACACTGGCTTTATTCGTTCGTTCTGTTTATTGCAGCTCTATGATTCAGAAAATTATGAAGGAGGGGAAACTTGTTCCTTCAGATGTAACAGTGAGGCTTCTTCAGCAAGCCATGCAGGGAATGGACAACGACAAATTCCTTATTGACGGCTTCCCCCGGAGTGAAGAGAATGTTAAAACATTTGAGAATCTTGTAAGATCTATATCTAATTGGTCTAAATAGAAGTCAGAAGTACTCCGAAATGCTTATATACTTGAAATAACTGTCATTTGCGATTTCTTTTGAAGACAAAAATGGAGCCTGAGTTTGTCCTTTATCTAGATTGTCCACAAGATGAAATGGAGAGGCGCTTGCTCTCAAGAAACGAGGTTTATTTAGGCGCATCATTCTAATCTGATAGTTTATAGTATGAAAGGTTTTCCTACTTGATTCGGAGTAACTATGCAGGGAAGGGAGGATGATAACATCGAGACAATAAGGAATCGATTTAAAGTGTTTTTGGAGTCAACTCTCCCAGCAGTTAAATATTATGAATCAAAGGGGAAAGTTAAGAAGGTACATTCAAAATCTTCTTCTATTGTTTAGTAGGGTGGTGGCAGTGGAGAATGGTTAGATACTCTGTTTTAAAAGGCAGAATTGGGACTCGCCCGGGGCTCGCCCCGGGGCGGAGCACTCGTAAAACCCCCTTGGGCTTATATGTGGGGCTTAGTTCCGTCAGACTTACGCCTCGGCCATTGGGACTTACGCCCCAGACACGCCCATTGCCCAATGTACTGGGCTTTGCCTAAAAGAACTTTATGCAATTGTTTGTAACTAACCTTGTAAATCTTTAAATTTTCTTAATAAATCGTTGACTATTCAAAATTACTGTTTTTTTCTTAATCATAAATCATTAAGTTGAGAGTATTTTATGTCATAATTAAAATAAAATTATTGCACATATCCATTAAGACTGCTATGATAATAAACTTTAAATAAATCTTTCATGTAAAAAGTATTTATTTATTAACTTTTGTTATGTCTTTATTGTATAATAGTCCATAATTTTTTTATAATTATTTTCCCAAAAATTATTTTTTTCACGTTTACGAGATACAATACTTATTAATTTCATAGCTCAGTAATAGCTACACAACTATTTACAAATAATTAGTTATCATGGTATAGTATGGTGAATTATGTGTCACTTTATTAACTTGTTGAAACTTAAAAATAAATGATGCTAGAGAATCATATTTAAATTGTGAATTAAGTTTTTATATAAATTCTCTTTCAAACTGAAAGCACATTAAATAAAAGGAGTATTTTAAAAAAAAAAATATCAAATTATAATATCTAAATTCTTTCAAGATTCATTACTCATTAAGGGATACATATAAGATTTCGTATCGAATACATTACTTTTGATGTTTAAGTTGTAACGACGTTGCAGCTAATTTACATATTATGATATATGTCACACTTTTCGTATTATTCATAGTTGAATTATCATTTATAAGTATTTTAAGTAGATTAGTTGTTATAATTTTGTGATTTAATGTAATTCTTATAACTATTTTTTATTTTATACTATTTTAAAATTCTTGAAATTAGTAAAAATTTAAAGATCCGTGGGACTTACGCCTCGCCTCACGCCCCCGCCTTTTCAAACATTGGTTGGATATAGACTGCGACTAAGATGGAATGATTTTAGTAATAACTACTAACCTATGTCTGAAAAATGCAGGTTGATGCTGGAAAATCTGTTGATGAGGTTTTTGAGTCCATCAAAGCTATTTTCTCTCAAGGAAAAGAGGATAAGGTGACACCAAGCAGACACAACCACAAATGCTCGATACTTTGATCGGATAAGCCTCAAAGCGTGATAGTATACATAAACATTTGCACATCGGTGTAGTGTAATTTAACCTGTTGTAGCAAGTTATCTGGCTTATTTTCAAGTTACTAATCCACGGTAACCTATAGTCAATCATCTTTGGTGACCTGAAAGATGACCTGATAGTGCAAAATGTCAAATGTATACAAAGTAAACTATTTACTGTGTGATAGATCTATCGTTTCTTGTTAAGGTAATAAAAAGTCCTTTCTAGTCAGCGTACTTTAACTCGCCGACAACGGCATATTTGTAATATGCATATAGTTATTCCTTTGAGTTCTACGTTGCTGTTTGACAGTAAATATGCAATATAAATAATCTGCAGATTCCATCATTAGGACAGCTCTGTGGTTAGGTATTTGCGGGCTTGCAGCTGTGCCAAATATTTAGATCATTTCTTCGTTTTCGGACATCAAAATTAATAAGGTCCAATTAATCTAAACTTTACATTTGATCAAAATATTTTTTCGACAATCAAGTTCATACACTTTATTTGAAGTGTAGGAACTACATATTAAGGAATTTTGCTGCTCAACTTACATGTTCCTTGAACTTTCTATAAAAAATGGTGTTGAATTATCTATGAACACACATTAATTTGAGCGTAGCTCAAGTAGATAAATAAATAGACAAAGAGGAATACGCATAAATTATCATAAATCTTTGAAATGCAAGTATTGCTATAGCAACATACTAATAGTTGGGATCCTCATCAGAAATTACAAAGACATATATATA